TTTATATTCTGATTATGTTTTCATAACAAATAATTATGTCGTTAATATTCATCTGGTTGGATGTAATCAGAATAGAGTTCAATTAAGTAATATCATCACGACCCATTACATTATATATGTATTTATTAGAATCAATTAAATTTACTATATTTGTATTTTTTAATTAAATTTACTATTACAATTCAAAAATGTAATTGAATCAAGTAAAAGCATTTACTTAACATAATTTTATTGAAAAAATTTTTTATATATATTTAAAGGTATAAAAATTTATTTTCTTGTGACAAGTAATTATTAACATTGGACAAAGAAAAGAGTTCTTGGATTAAGAAATTTAGTATTTAGTAGAAGTAAATAAGTAATTCTCCACGTAGGTTACAATTTGGATTTTACTATTATTGAAAAATTGTTTTTCAAATATTAAGTAAAAGTCGATATAGAATTTTAAAGTTCAATACTCAAGAATGAAATATATTCGAGGTGGGCCAGACAAAATAACTATAATTTTACTGTTTACAATAAACAATCATGTAAAATTGATAAGACCGCATGACGCGCAAAGAAAACTAATTTTTTTCAACAAATTATTAACGATTTTAATTTTTTTCTTCTTTCAAGTTATTTGTTTTCACTAACCTTACACTACTAAACTTTTTTTTAACGTAAAATATAAATAATTATTCATTTTATTGAAAATATATTATGATTACACCATATGACGATGCTGTGATTCACTTTGCAACTTTCCTGCTTTTAACATATATAAAAACAAAAAAAAATAATTTTTTAAATCAATTTCTCTTTAGGAATTCATTTAGGAGAGTTTATTGATGCCTTTTACTGATGTTAAGTAATATTTCGACTTGATTTTTATGCAAATTATGCAATTTTACAAAGTGATTATACCATAACGCGAAAACGAGGGACAAGAAATAATTACAAAAATATTAAAAAATAATTTTTTTTCACAAGTTTTTTTGTTTTTTTCAATATTCTATTAAACTTAGGCAGTAAGAAAATGTCAATATTCATTACATTTAATATTATATTTTACTAAAAAATATAATAGTGTTATATTTATTGTGTTGATGTTTTTTTTTTTTAAATATTTTTTATGCCGCATATATCTAGTAAAGTCGTTGATGGATTTTGACACAAGTACTTTTTATCTCTGACCAAAAAAATATTTTCTTGAAATAATATAACATCAAAAAAATCATTTTCTTGATCCAATACCATAATTGACTCGTTCCTATGCAATTTCTTGATTCAATTAAATTTTTTTCAGAGTAAATACATTAAAGGTAAATATTTTATGAAACTATAAAAATAGATTATGTAAAATAACACTTTTTGGATTTTACGTTATAAAAGCCACAGGAATAGAATCTTTATAATTTAATAAAAACACAAGATAAAAAAGCTTATACCGAATTATTTAAGAGTAGAACAATAAATTACATTGTTGCATTATTAATTTTGAGGCAAAGGGATATTTAATAAAGCATTGATTCCATTATTTTGATAATTTATAGTGCAAAGTAAAATGTTTACGTTTAGAAATTAATGATTTGTAATTATTATTTTAATTTCAATTTATTCTTCTTGGATTATTTTCAATGAAAATTGTATGATGGAAATTAATTGATACAACATTTATCTGCCATTAGCCAATTGTGGTAATGATATCTAATAATGTATAATTAGTAACAAGTCTTTTGATGTCATCTATATCAGTATAAAATTTCCGAATAGAAATTAAGAACACCTTAAAGAGAATCTTCTTGATTAAAGATAATCTTATCTCATCAATGACACACATATCATTACAAACCATGTTTAATTTCAAATATCCACTCACGAACTTTCATTATAAGTTTTCATTATAAGGAAATATTAAGGAATATCAGTTATATACAACAATCTAACTGTAATCAACATGTGATCTTATTGTTTATGAGAAGTATTTAATACAATAAATACACGGAAAAAAATCTATTACTAAAAAGCTCATTAGCGTCCGATACGTATAGCAGCACGCATGCACTATAGAGTGTATGCGTGCTGCACTGTTATATTCACAACAGTGGCGCTTGAAAAAATCGAAGCAGTAAACTCTATGCGTTGTTAGTACAAAATTTCTCTCCGTGTAGAAAATTTAAGATCCTTTCTCATATTAATTAGGGATTTTGATATAATTTTGTTTAATATTTCACTACCATAACAGAAAAGCTTGATCAGTAGTAAAATCAGCAGTAAAATTTAGTTTCGTTTTTTAATAAAAATAAAGATCTAAATTCTAAAAAGGGAAACTTCAATATCTTTAACTTAAGAATCTTTCATATATATATATCCATAATTAATGTCTATTCCTGGTTAAATATAAATTTAAATTTAATTAGCTAAAAACAGAAACCTAAATTATCGGATTAAAATGAAATTGTACGTCATTATTAAAAAGTTTAATGATATTATATCACAAATATTACTTTGTTCAGAAAATTCTATTTTTTTAAACTAAATTTTAAAATAGGGAAGATTGAGGAATTGTGGGCCACCTACATTATTTAATAATATTTATAAGTTTGATCATCAAATTATTTTTATTTTTTGTTCGCCGAAAGTAAATTTTTCATTAGCATTTCATGACTTTACAACTCTTTACAATTACCTATAAACCGTAAACAGTAACCACCTGAAAAATTGCATTTAAATATTTATTTTAGGCGTTCATGTTTCTATTCTTTTTACAAGGATTTTCAAGAATTAATTATGGAAAATATTTTTTTAATTATTGTGTGTCATTGGTACTTTGACTCCAAAAAGAAATTTTGCATGAAAATTTACATAAATAAATAATACAAAGCTTTTTGTAAAATGAAGCATTTGGGGAATTGTTGGCCGCACCTATTTTTGAGAAAGTTTATGTTCCTTGTTTTTGGAGATTTAATTGCATAATTGTATCAATGCAGATACATAATTTATGTATTAAAATCACTAATAGCTATATAGTAATTTAACAAAAACAATTCTATTCATTGCGATTCATGAAATAGAGCTGTTTAATTAAAATGTGTAATTAATGAAGTATTATTTTACGTGTCCAAATTGTGATTCCGATTAATTTCATTTTCTTACTTTTCTTTTCTAATTTTAAACTATAATAATTGAATATTTATACCATTTTTAATATTTCTAACCATTTAATAAATATATTTTATCGTTATTTTTGATTTTGAACTATAACATTTTTAAAAATCATAAAAGTTCACTCTTTGGTAAAACTAAAATTTCTTTTAGGTAAGTGATAATTTTGGAAAACTGACTATGATATATGTTAGTAGATATCTTCTATACTGAAACGAAAACTTTGAAAATTTGTAAAAAAAATTTTTTGTGTAAAATATTGAGCTAAGAAAAAGTGTGGTCCACAATACCCCCAATCTCCTATACAAAACTTTAATAAATTTATATACAATATAAATTATTCTCAACTTTTACATTGCACGTGGTCATTTGTAAACAAAGAAAAGAGTTTGCGGGTTCTTGAATTTCAGAAGGAAACATCTATTCAGAAATTATCTTTAAAATACAAAAGTACCAAACTACTTTTCTTCTTGTAACAATTTAGATTTGTTGGGCTAGCAATGTACGAAGGGCTCATAGTAAAAATGGCTTGTAATATGTTTGATATTGGTAGAAAAAGAAGGTAAAAAGTGGTTAAAAGTATTGAGAGCAAAAACAAGTTAATTTATTAAAAAGAAATAATAATTACTTCTCTTTCGCAAAATTATAATTTATATAGATTCTTTTTGACCTAAAATTACTTCAATTCGGTATCATCGTGTCTTCCAAACATAATAATAATTTAATTTAAATAATCTAATTCGTTTTTGTTTTCAATGAATTTAATCAATTTTAACACTTCCAGAATATAATATCTTATAATTTTTTATTTTCACTATTAACCCCTAGTCTAAATTCGCTCTTTTTTTCGAAACTCAAAAAAAAATCAGATTTGTACAGAAAATTAAATTTTTATTCTCGCTTTGCTTCTTGTTTTTGTAGAAATTTCCTTTTCTACGTATGATGGTTGAGAAAATAAGAAGCAAATTTTTTGAATTTTGTTTTACTCTTTTAAAAGTAAATAATTTTCAGCTGTTTTTACTTTTCTAAGGATTTTAAACTAATTGGAGGTGTAGAAACTAATTAATTAATGCCCTAACAGAAATCGGATATTCAGGATATTCTACGGATGTCCTAAAGTTATCCGAACTGTTATATCTGTAAGATGTTCCAGGGATGTCCTGTGATATCTTAAGGACATTCTAGGGATATTTAAATTTATGGATGTGACTAGGACGTCCGTAGGATATCCGTTGCTGTTAGGGTGTTAATTAGTCTTCTTTTTTCTGACTGTAGATTTTTGCTATAATTAAGAAAAAAGTAATATTATTTTGATTCTTCTTTGCTTCTCTTTTCAAGCGTAAATTTCTATTTCTCAATTTTAAAGGATCAAAAGAGAATCAATATAGATATCAAGAGAACCAAAAAAGAACTCATATATCAACTCTGGACCCTTTCGCATTGTTGTTTATAGATAACACAAAATTTTGTAAAAACAATCAAAATTTGTTAATTCTATACTAATAACTCTCTTTTCTTTATGAAACTAAAACAAGAGTGTTTTAATTTTGTGATTTGGATACACATACGCTCACTAACATTTCTTAATAAACTTTGCCTCATATACTCATTATTTTTATTCTATTTAAATTTTCTACCTGGAAATTAGATTATTCATTTCATGAAATGAGTGGTAAATAATAAATTTACCTCCTACTGAAATGAATTGCCTGAATAAGATAGGCTCCGGATCTTAAAAGGATACTTTTATCATTTAAAATCAATGCTGCATGTGTCCTTTTAAGATCTGGAGCCTCATATGTGATCCGCTTATGAAAAACGCATTTTAATTTAAAGATAGGTTTATAACTCACCTCCAGGAAATCGATGAGGAAAAAACCTCCCATGCCCGTGTCTGGATGTGATCCAAGGAAAAAGAGTATAGCTATCCCGAGGTGGTTGATGAGGATGAGGTGGAGGATGTGGTCCTCCTGGCGGGCCACCATGGGGATAAGGTCCATGAGGAGGTCCGTGAGGCGAAGCACCATGATGTGCCTGAAGGGCAACGGCCAGATTTGCCGCATGAAAATTTTGAGCAGCAAGATTCGCTGCAGCAAAGGCTAAATGTTGCGACTGATATTCATTTTGACCCGTTTGTGGTCCAGCGGGTCCATGACCCGACAATCCATAAAGAGATTTAATCTGTTCAGCGGCAACAGCTGCAACGGTTGCAGCACTAGGAGGTGGTTGAAGATAATTTGGACTAGGTCGAACAACACCTGGAGGAGGTGGAGGATGATTGCCAACAGGAGAATCACTATGAGATATCCTGTGAGGCGGACTGGGACTGTTGTTTGGGGTGGAAGCTCCACTGTGACTGTGCGTTGTATTTCTACTGTAATCTAAATGATTCGATAGTGTTAGATGATGATGATGGTGATGATTGTTGTGCGAAGGCGTTCGTCGGGAATTGGGATAGGACTCTATAGAGGAACTTCGGGAAACAGGCCTATCAGATTCGTCGGAATGAGCACCAGGAGATCTTGCGTTGAGTCGCCGATTTCTTGGTGAAGAGGAACCCTCAACAACATCCATGGGACTTCCATCTCTCTCAATTTCCACTCGTTCTAACCTGTCTAAACGATCATCTCGACCACCACCAACAATTGAGTCGATGCTGAAGCCGATCTTGGGCTTAGATGGCATAGGGACTATTGGCGTCGGCGCGAGCGGCATCATTGTAAGTGGCGCAACGCCCAGGCTCTGCCAAAATGACTCTTTCTCGAGAATTTTGAAAGTTATTGATAAACAGGGTGTCTTAAGTCTCCTGCATCCTGCTGCGATATCATTCACTTATTGCTCTTGAGGTTTGTCATTAACACTGTGTGTAACACTTATTCTCTCGAGTCCGTCGCTTTACCAGATAGCGAAACACATTTCAGGATAAACACTAATCACTCAATCCTAATCGCAGCTATGTCTATTATCATACAAAATTTTTGCTCTCCGATAATATTTGTTTACTGAACAGTGCAATGCGTCACACTGACATTATCTCATTAGCACTTCAATTATCTGAAACTCACTCTTAGGTCCTGGTCCCAATCAAGAACAATATTTAATCCTGAGTCCAATAATTAAACACACACTAAACTTGCACGATGAACTCACTCGTGACATGAAAGAAAACTCACACGATCCACTCGTCACTGTACAAAAAAAAGCAGGAATGGGAAACGCGCAGCGAGATTATACGAGCTCTGCTCTGAGGTCGATCAGATGCTTCTGGCCTGCGAGCTTAGTTGTGTTTGAGAAAATTACCGGCTAAACGAGTGTTGGAACTTGCTTGGTGGGGGAGTAACACTCCCCCTCTTTTGAAGTACTGACAACAGATGTTGGAGGGGCCGATCAACCTGAAGTGGGCGGGTTTTGTGGTGTTGGAAAATATCCAATGGGCGGGAACATGAAACATCGGGATTGGTTAGTGAGTATCGGGATTCCGGTTTCTTCCCCTTATGTAGGACCTTAAATAAACCAGAAGGGGAACCACATTAGTTGTCGATGGGCGTTAAACTCACGTTTTTGTAGTGCGATGAAAATGAGTCGTTTAATTAATACGTCTGGACTCTGGAGTGTTTCTCCTCGCTGGGGAGATGATGGACGATTAAAGGGAGAAAGTCTAAGAGTAGGATCGAGAGGATTTTCATCTGGCTGGATTCTATGCGCCAGAGGACGTTTATTGTGAGCTAGGGTTTACATTTCATTATGATATCTCACTCTTATATGTGTGTAATGCTATAGGTCCTTCATTTAAATCCTTATTATTCAAAATGGATGACTAATATTTAAGAAGGGTGATTAAAATCATTATTATGTGCGAAAACATTAAATTTTACATTATTTTTATATTTGAAAGAAATTTGTTCAGAACATATATTATTTACATTTATTATAATAAACATTATTTATTATTATTTTTAAATTTATTTTGAATATTTTTTGTTTGCATTCGTTTTTAATATTTTATTAATAAAAATCATGATTATAAAATTATATTGTCTTATAAAAAATGATAATATTATTGGTAAAAATTACAACTAATATTCAAACAGATATTTTTTTCTTCTGCAATTTTCCCGACAATAACTTTTTCTTACATAAGAAATTAACAATTATTTCTTATTCTTTTGAAGTTTTAATAATTTTCATATATTATTACAATTCCAAAATTAGAAGGTATAATTTCTATAATATGTGTGGACAAACAAAAGCCAATAGTTAATTTTGTATCTAATCTTGTAATTTTTCATAAAAAAGCGGTTTTAAGATTGAAAACGTTAAATTTCGACCTGTCCCCAAAAGAAGTCTAAAGAAAAAATAAGTTAGTATTTTTATTCTATAATTGAGTATAAGAAAAGATTTTAGGGGAAAACAATGTTGTATTTTTTATGTTTATGCTTGTCTGCAGTTTTGGATGTTACCAAGAAACATTGAATTATTTAAATAAAAGTTAATTCTTAATACAATAAAATTCTACTTCAGTAATAGCAAAATAATCCATGAAGAAAATAATCAATTTATTTTTTCACAATTTATTATATTTTTTAGTAAATATACCTAAATGAGATTTATTTGAAACCTATTGAAAATAAATAATAATTTTCTCAAAAAATATAAAAATATTGATGCCGGTTAAAAGAGTTTTTATCATCCTCAGCGACTCCACCGCGGCATCACTATATTATAGATATATAGTATTTCCAATTTTCCACCGGCATTGGATTGTATGACAAAACTATAGTGCAAGTATAGTGTTATGGTGCAAATTTTTCCGGCCCAGCATGAATATTTCTTTCTGAACCCTTTATCTTCAAAAAAAATATATATTGATAATTACCATAACGATAAATTTTTTTTTAAGTTTCAACCAACTCCAGCGCATAACTATACTCTAAATTTCGCATTAATTTTGTTAAAGTTTATTATTATTTTTTTGGCGCATTTTCTTTTATAAAATTGTAAAAATTCTTTTCCATTATTCTATCAGAATTTCGTTTGTTCATATAAAATGTCAAATTTTTAATGTTATTCCATTTAAAAGTTTCGCTTTTAATAATGAATTTGTTGAACAAAATCAGAGTAATGTAATTTTATTAAACTAATATTAGTGGCTGTCTGAATTCAGCTAAATTAAAATATTAAAATATAAAATTAATTAAAAACATTAAAAATATTTCAAGAGGTACCTGTAAAATGAAACGAATATTTTAGATTGGGAAATATATATATATATATATATGTTAGGCTCAAAAGCCGAAAACGGCCAATGGCCGAAAAAAACAGCCAAACCTAGTTTTGGCAAGTGCAGTTTTGCCAAAACTAGGTTTGGACGTTTCACTTCGGCCATTGGCCGTTTTAAATTGACAAAACTAGTTTTGGTAAATCGACATTTGCCAAAACTAGTTTTGGCAATTTAAATTTGGCCATTGGACGTTTCTAATTGCCAAAACTAGTTTTGGCAATTTGACTTTTGCCAAAACTGGTTTTGTCAATTTGACTTTTGCCAAAACTGGTTTTGTCAATTTGACTTTTGCCAAAACTAGTTTTGTCAATTTGACATTTGGCAAAACTAGGTGAGGCATTTCAAATTGTGAGAAAGACCGCTTCGTTATACAATAGGAATATATTTATTTAAAAATGTGTCATTGATTAATATTATTTACAATAAGATGAAATTTCTCTAACAAAAATCCATTAATATTTTGCACATAAAAGTTAATTAAAATAACTTTTTTAACACTTATTTATTTTTACAAAGATTAATTTACCTTTATACAGACTAATTTACCTTGTTGACGATTTCTTATTTCATACACACAATCATTCAATACAGAAACAATATATAGACAGAAAAGAGTGAGAGACTACATGCTAATTCTAAACAAATTTCCTATTAATACGGCGGTCTTTCTTTTTCTATTCTTTCTTTCTTTCAATTTCTCACAATTTGAAATGCCTCACCTAGTTTTGCCAAATGTCAAATTGACAAAACTAGTTTTGTCAAAAGTCAAATTGACAAAACCAGTTTTGGCAAAAGTCAAATTGCCAAAACTAGTTTTGACAAAAGTCAAATTGCCAAAACTAGTTTTGGCAATTGGAAACGTCCAATGGCCAAATTCAAATTGCCAAAACTAGTTTTGGCAAATGTCGATTTGCCAAAACTAGTTTTGTCAATTTAAAACGGCCAATGGCCGAAGTGAAACGTCCAAACCTAGTTTTGGCAAAACTGCACTTGCCAAAACTAGGTTTGGCTGTTTTTTTTCGGCCATTGGCCGTTTTCGGCTTTTGAGCCTAACATATATATATATATATATATATATATATATATATATATATATATATATATATATATATATATATATAGAAGAAGATTCCCTGCCGGAGGCTCTTCTCGATATTTTGCATAATTTTTATAAATAACTGTTAAAAAGAATTGTTTAAACATATGATTTTCACACAGTAAATCGTGAGGTGTTAAAATAACACCAAAATGCATTAAAAAAATAGCAACAGTTTAATAACTCTAGAATTAAATTAATACCAGAAACAATTAAAATAATCAATTTTGGTGTTATTTTTTACTATATGAATGTTAATTTAAATCAAACACCAAGTCAACGATTTGTCAAAATTCGACGAATTTAGATTTACCAGGGACAATAGTTATATATCTAACTTACTAACTAACTTTCTAACTAACTTACAAACTTAATTACTAATTAACTTACTAACTAACTTACAAACTTAATTACTAATTAACTTACTAACTAACTTACTAAGTTATTAACTTATTAACTTATTAACTTAATAAGTTAATAATAATAAGTTAATAATAAGTTAATAAATAAGTTAATAATAAGTTAATTGAAGAATTAAAAGAAACTTATGAAGTGACTCACTGACTAACTAACTGACTAACTTATTAAATTACTAACTTACTATAGTAAGGTATTTAGTAACTAAGTTAAGTAAGTTAGTTAGTAAGTTAGTCAGTAACTTATTTCGTAACTAAGTTAATTAGTTATAGTTTGTTAGTTATTTAGTTATAGTAATCGTTGACTTGGTTTTGATTTGAAGTAAAATTTCAGTCATAGTATAAAAAATAACACCAAAATGGACTATTTTAATACTTTTTGGTGTTAATTTAATCTGCAACGCTTTTTAATACCTCACATTTTACTGTGGTATACATATAGAAAAGGAGTTTTTGTAGGATTCATCCAAGCATTTCGTTTGGATAAAATATTTCAGGGTCAAATTTTTTTATAATCATTTAAGAGAGTATACTCTGCGTGAGGCGCTTTCTCTATTTTTACAATAATTTAGCGAAAAAGTAAATTTATAAAAGATTTTTCCGGATGTCCGTAAATTTTTTGTACTTTAAGACTAATAGCAATTTCACTTTCGACTAAGATAACAAGCCTTCGTTTACAAAGATTAATATAGTGGCTGATGTTATAAATTTCTATAGCGAAGACTTTAATGTATAGCTGTAATTTTAATGTCCTTTTTATATTCATTTTAATATATTAGTATTTGCAATCGATTATTATTTCAGGATATCTTATTGTCAATATTATTAAATAAATACATATTTATTACAATTTAATACATATTTATTAATAAATTGACTGTTGCAAATTACTTTACTCAAATTTATTGGAGCAAAATTTTTAAATTTCTAAATCATTAAATTAAATTTTATTTTCTTTAGTAAGACTTTATTTGGAAATTTCAAAAGTTTAAATTAATTCTGATTGTACTTGAGTAGCACACCCCTTTTCAATTTGACTGTAGTGTGAAATAAATTCACATTTTTAATTTTTGAAATTAATTGTTTGCGAGGAGTGCCATTTTTAATTCCACGTGAATGAGAAAAAGAGACATGTATTTTATTTGTCCTTTTTAGGGGGGGTCAAATTTTTTTCGTTATGATTTAAAAAAAATGTTGTTTTTTGATAGACCTATTTTTGATGTCATATAACTCGAAAAATATTGTTCCCTCTTTAATTTTTGAAAGGAGAATAAGAATAGTTTTGTTTTTCTCTCCATTATTAAATAATGCTAGCAAAAAAATTCTAAAATTTTTTATGAAATCTTAGTATTTCCAGGTGTTTTTCAAAAAAAAATTTTTTTTTTTTATCCAAAGTTAAAAAAATTCTTTTCTTGACAAAATTTGAAGAGAAACAATATTTTTCGAGTTATGTGACATTAAAAATAGCTCTAAATTCAAATAACGAAAATGTAATGTAATGTCAGATTGTAGGAAGTGCTTTACAGCCAGTCGCCAGTAGAGGGTAGAAGCATGCAGAGCGAGCACAATTGCCTATAGATCTGCCGTACTTCTAAAAAAAGTCACTATCTTTATTTTAGATCAATCGGAGAAATTGAAAGAAACGCGTTTGCATCTCGATCTCTTAATAAAATTGAAATTTTTGTAAACAAACTTATGTCCTTAACTAATTTATATGACACGCTCTTTTCATTGGTGCAAAAACTATTAATT